GTATATATACAATTCGTTGTAGTTGTAAAGTGCTTTTACAATTTTATGGTAAAATCTACAAAATGGCCTTCTTACAACTTGATATTCGTTTTATTTATTCAGTTAGCCGCTAGCTCTTTGTACCCGTCAAAGATTATATCACGCATTTCTACTACAGACGTCGTACACTTTATTAATACACGTAATGACCCCCATTTAGCATTGAAAGTATTCAGAAAGTCACGCCTCTCTCAACTGGAAGTATTAAAATTATTTTGCATTATAAAATTAAAGCATGTCTTGGAAATTGTTGCAATCACAAGATCCTCCGATTTTGGCCATTTATGATGCAATGTGAACTGCCCTATTTTAGCAAACAATCAGTACGTGGCTGTGCAAATTTGCGAGAAACTTCTCCCATCTACTATTATAAAAGCGGCTAATGCACAAACAATAAACAATAATGCATGTGGATGGATTGACATGTTCTGTTTGGGCTGGGGTGTTTATTCATTAAAGTATAGTTAATGTGTTCGAGTTTCGTTCGTTCTTGACTTAGCGTATTCAGTGGAGGAGTTAACGGCTCCGAATTTTAGCCCCGCACTTTTAAACGTGGTTCGTTCAAACTCACGCCCATTTATTGATAATCTGGCATGTTCCGTTTGGGCCTCGCCTCGCACGTCCTTAAGCATCGTACTGACACCCCCATTCATGCATGGCTAGTTAATAAATAAACTGTAGAATAAAATTGTTATCTTCGAAGCAATATATGACCCCTGCTCATGAGCAGTATATGTTATTGTTACACCGGGTTTGCCAAAAATGGATAACGAAAAATCGATTTTGTGTTCTTCAAGTCTCTCATCAGATTACTGGCTGGAAAGTGAAAACTATACAGATCTTTCAATACATGTGGGAAGAGAACCACATAGCAAAGTATTTCTCGCCCATACGTTGGTATTATGTACAAGAAGCAAATATCTTGAGAATAGCTTAACCGGAGATACAGCAACGTCTAAAGAGATTCAAAGGACAACGTTGACATTTGAAGATGTAATTCCTGAAGTATTTGAAATATTGCTTAGGTAAAGACAAATCTTATGAAATTTGAATACTATTATTGCGTAGGACTTATCGATATAATATAACATTGCTAGGTTTATTACACTGGGAAGGTGTCCTACAATTTACGCACGGATATAGACTGGATTAACCTTTTAAAAGGAGCTGTCAAGATGATCTTATTACTGCGATTGAAAAACTTTTGATCACTAAAAGCGAGGAATTGATTCAACAAAATTTTCTCATGATCCAGAAGTTCGCTCTCTCCACGGCCAGCTTAAACAAACTTCTAAACTATTGCAATCAAACCATGGCTTTACATCCAGAGATTATCTTTAAATCTAACAATTTTTTAAGCTTACTAAGGAAGACTTTGATTACCCTTCCCCAGAGATGATCTTAATATGAAAGAAGGCGATATTAATATTTGGATGTCAGTCATAGAGTGGGCTATTGGGCAAGTTCCTGGACTTACAAATAACCCAAACAGTTGGTCGTCCGGTGAGGTTAACATTATCAAAAGCTTGGTGGCCGATTACATACTGCATGTAAGATTTGTTGACATTCCTTATGAGGAATTATGCGAAAAGTTTGTTTTGTACGATGAATTACTACCGGCGAAGTTACGACATGATATACTTCTTCATCATTTGCAAAATATAAATAAAATAAGCGGCCAAAATCGACCACTAAGGGGATACAAGATAGTTGAGGCTGTTATTGACTCTGAGGAACAAGCGTCAGTTAATGTGAATCCACCAACATTGGGTTTTTCAGTTGTAGCTGGACCAAGTTCTTTCGGTGGTGGATTTGGCGAGCAACGTACGATGGTTACGCTTAAAGGTAATACTAGTGCGAATCCATTTTCAAACAACAATCAATGGAAGTTTTGGAGGGTTTGGCTTTGGAAGCTTTAGCCAGAACGCTCAGATCCTGTTGATGAAGAAAAACCCCCGTTCCTTCTTGTAGCGGCTTTGTAATATCTTAGATCCTAGTGAGAAAAAAATAAATTGTGATATGAGGGTAAATTTGCGGCATATATCTTCAGATTTGGAGATGATCACTCTGAATCAAGAGGCTCTATTACTATGATTATTCCACGCAACCAGGATATGGAATTCTATGGCGCTCAGGTTAATCGACCAAGTGCTTATTCAGCTGTGCTTTCTGACGGACCAAGCGATGAGGAAGTCCTGGCTGAAATCAGATATATCTAGCAACTGCAAATCTTATGATCATTACTAAGAAACAAGGTATGTAGTAGGGTAATAAGGGATGTGAGAATGCAATTCTTATGACGACAACGTTGTGATTATTGTGTTCATATTTGGTATTGGGATCTTTGCAACAAACTTTATTACTTGATCGAATATAACTGACATGAATATCTCTACTTAGTACGTGAGCAACTGACTGCCACGTTTAATACTGACATGTCTTCGCGTAGGGAATTGATTAATACTATTATAGAATTGATACTGTTAGGCAAACTATAGACAAGGAACCCTTGTTATCTAGACATGAATTTGTACAAGTAGTTTAAACGACTCGCCTGAGTAGCGGATGTGTATGTCTCTTTAATCACTCTGAAAAGAATTTTGATTATATTTGTATCGATTGAATTGTAGTGAGTTTATTGCGCGCACATAATTTATTAATTAAAATCGGTTATTCCGATATTGTTCATGTGAATTGGGTGGAGCCAATATCAGACGAGTTTGTTCAGTTCATTACGTTCGTTCCAGGTGCCAAAATCACTTATGAAAAATGATACGCATATACAACAAATAAATGGAAACGCATCAATAACAAATTGTTAGATTTTGGATCAAATGAAATTTATTATGCCCAAATTAAATAGGCTCACCATTTGAGGATTCTGGTCTATGTTCGAATGTTACACGGTTGGTTTAAATAATGTAGAGACTTGCAAAAGCTTATAGTTAAAGAATCTAATACTTATAAACTTTGTTTTATTATCTGTTTCTTACATGAAATCGCATTGGTTCTACCAGAGAAAAAAAACCAAAAATAATACGAAAAAGCGTGCGTTACAATTTTGTCTAGAGAATGTCGTGAGTCTTCACGGGCGAGAATGTTTATGGCTTCGATGAGAGTTACGATAAATAACTAATGATCGATGCTTCACAATACCAACATGCCCGAATCAAATCCTGAAATCCCATTCTAGAATGGTCTAACTTCTGATTTGGGCTAAGAACATAATAAAATGGATCTTATCTGTCAAAAATTATTAATAAAATTAATAAATCATTAGTACAGTCTTCCAAACGTACCCTCTTAATTTACAGTATTAATATTGCGAATTGGGAATGAGCGCACGTTTCATGTTTCGTAAATGAGAATGCTATAATCATGTGACCAGACAATGTCCAATTTTCGGTGATGCTATGATAAAAATATCATTTTCAGTAAGTTTTAAAGGTCGAGCTGCATTTTAACCTCCTTATTACGATATGTTTACGGAACCTACATATAATGGATTATTGAAACGGCGTGTCTCCATAAATGTACGCACATCGTATTGACTATATTACAAAATATTTACTCTGGGTTGAGTTAACGGCTTGCATCAATTTTTGTTCGGATAGTATAAATGTCGGATTAAGCGTTAATAAATAATACGTTGTTGAAAAGCAAGGTCGACTTATATAACTCACGAGCCTTTCAGTATAATGTCATTCAGCTGGTACGTTCTTTGGGTGGAACAAGTTTTACTATTCGCACAGGTAAAAAAAAAACGTTTAATTGAAAACGGGTTTAACCGTATTGTACCTGCAAATCATGATTAGAAAAGAGAATTTAGGAGACGATAAAGTGTGTCAAGCCGATTTAATATGTGCTGCAGTACATGTAACACACATTTTCAACACCCAATCATTTAATCGAAATCGTTACACTGGGGTTTGCCAAACAATTCGGAAATCATCTCATCGTTTATTCTCTTCCTCCAAAAATGGATAACGAAATCGATTGTTCTTCAAGTCTCTCATCAGATTACTGGAAACTTTATGAAAGTGAAAACTATACGGATCTTTCAATACATGTGGGAAGAGAGCCACATAGCAAGATATTTCTCGTCCATACGTTGGTATTATGTACAAGAAGCAAATATCTTGAGAATAGCTTAGCCGGAAATACAGAAGCGTCTAAAGAGATTCAAAGGACAACGTTGACATTTGAAGATGTAATACCTGACGTTTTTGAAATCTTACTTAGGTAAAGACAAATCTTATGAAATTTGAATACTATTATTGCGTAGGATTTATCGATATAATATAACGTTGCTACAATTATGTAGGTTTATTTACACTGGGAAGGTGTCCTACAATTCATGCACGGATATAGACTGGATTAACCTTTTAAAAGGAGCTGTCAAGTTTGAGCTAGATGATCTTATTACTGCAATTGAAAACCTTTTGATCACTAAAAACGAGGAATTGATTCAACAAAATATTCTCACGGTTCAGAAGTTCGCTCTCTCTACAGCCAGATTAAACAAACTTCTAAACTATTGCAATCAAACCATGGCTTCACATCCAGAGATTATCTTTAAATCTAACAATCTTTTAAGCTTGCCAAAGGAGACTTTGATTACCCTTCTCCAGAACGATGATTTTAATATGAAAGAAGGCGATATTTGGATGTCGGTCATAGAGTGGGCTATCGGACAAGTTCCTGGACTTACAAACAACCCAAACAGTTGGTCGCCCGGTGAGGTTAACACTATCAAAGGCTTGGTGGCCGATTGCATACCGCATGTAAGATTTGTCGACATTGCTCATGAGGAATTGGTTGAGAAATTTGTTTTCTACGACGAATTATTACCGGCAAAGTTACGGCATGACATACTCGTTCATCATTTGCAAAATAAAAACAAACCGAATAACGAAAGTCGACCACGACCACGAAGGGGATACAAGACAGTTGAGGCCGCTATGGACACTGAGGAACAAGCGCCGTTTAATGTGAATCCACCAGCATCGGGTTTCTCGGTTGTGGCTGGACCTAGTTCTTTCAGTGGATTTGGCGAGCAACGTACGATGGTTACGCTTAAAAGTAATACTAGCGCGAATCCATTTTCAAACAACAATAATGGAAGTGGAGGGTTTGGCTTTGGAGGCTTTGGAGGCTTTGGTCAGAACACTTCATATTCGAATCCTGTTGAAGAAAAAAAAGTTACTTCTTTCAGCGGGTTTGGAAACCCTAGTCTTCCGAATGCTTCGGATTCTACCAAAGGTTTTGGGTTTGGTTTCGGAAGCGTTAGTAATGCTTCAGATCTTGGTGAGAAAAAGGATACATCAACTTTTGGAGGGATAGGGGGTTCTTTTAGTCTGAAAGTTAGTCCGAATGCTTCAAAAACTGTTAAGAAAAACAAAGATAAAGTTTCACCTTTTGGACAGGGTTCGCTTAATAATAATAATAAGTCAAGTTTGTTCGGAGGTCTTAATCCGAATGCTTCTGATTCTACTAAAGCTTTTGGAGGTTTTGGAAATGTTAGTAATGTCACAGATTCTAGTGAGAAAAAAAATGTTTTTGGTGGGGGTTCTTTTGGTAGATCAGGTTTTGGAAATGTTGGTCCGAATGCTTCAGATTCTACTGATGGAAAGAAAGCTAAAGCTTTTGGCAGTGCGTTTGGGTCTGGAAAAAGTAAATCGAATGCTGGAAACAAAGATGGTGCACAGGGTTTTGGATTTGGGACAAGGTAGTTTATAGTTGGACATTCCTGATTTTATTAATACCTTGTATCTGAAGAATTTTTTGCCACTTTATGAAAGAATACTTTAAGAGGATAAAAAATTGCATGTGTATTTTTTTTGCTTAGTGAAGAATAATGATTATATTTAGCTTAACTCATCTTGAAAAACAAAGAGATCATATCAAATAGAAATCTGTCATCTATACACTTAAGTGAGGTGGTTTTCGTTTCATGGTTTTTATTTGAAATCTGGATTTATGTGAGAGCATGCCAACCAAAATTACAAGTTTTTATGCAAAAAAACCATTGTACTAATTTTATCAAACGGGTATGTTTAATCATCCAAATAAAATTACCTTACATTCCCCATTCATTGTTGCTCAAAGTCATTGCAATATTAATATAGACGAACACTATAATACAGCGTCGATTAATCAACAGTAACATATTATGATATACATACGGTTTTTTTGATTGGACATTACAAACGTATGCAAATTATACTGCGATTTAACGCAGTCTTCATTCAGTATGTTACTTATGCGCATTGTAGATTAAAAACGCGACCAAAGCAGGCAAGAATAGGTTTGCATACAGCTGTATATCCAATTTGCATTATAGTGTAAGGTATAACTTTCCTTTAAGTACATCAGCGTTTGTTCTTGATTTCTCTGGAAGGTAGCTTAGACATGCAATGTTCTGCAAATGCAAAAAGCATGTCAAGTGTCGAGCCAACAATTGCAGGAGAGCAATCGATCGTCGACTCTAGAGATTTAGCCAAGTTCGAGCGGAGTCTGTGGTGTCTCCTACTTTTAGTTAAATAAAATGAAGTTAACTACCTTTAAACCAGGCATTGCTGCTCATAACCTCAGCATCGATCAGTAGACACTAATCCTCGATAATTATTCTCTTCCGATGTGGAATTAGATCGGAAGTCTATAGGTTGGGTGTAATCGTAACTGGAACAAACCGCGTTTCGGACAAGAGGCAAAATTTTTTCGATATAGGGATTAGCGGTTGACGAACTATATCGAATTTATGTATTATCTGAGTAAAAAGACTACTATAGTTTATTGATAATATGATATAAGTAAAGTAATTGAACACACTGAGTTTAGCGAAAACTCGCACAGTTTATATATCTGCTTTAACGGTTGACTTCTTTTCTATTGCTGTTAGCACGCGCTGTTGGCTGTACTCTCTATCTAATGAGCTGCCTTTCGCATGGATGTCACTGCGTAGCAGTAGAAACACCTTGTAACACAGACAACCACTGACACAAAGAGTAAAAGAGATATTAGACTTACCTAACATAAAAATGATGTATTTAATTTTTTCGACATACCTGATTAAGAAAAAAAAGACTAGTTTGATATAATAAATTCGAGAGTTTATTCAACAGTCCTTTTTTAGGCGAACATTGAATATTAATATTATATTTTGACCATTTTCGGGCTATACAGTATATACTCCATATGCAAAGTGTTACAAAAAAGTGGTGATCGTAAAAATACATGTATTTATAATTACAGAACGTAACGATATAAATTTAAATACAAATAGTTTGTCTCTGATTTTAAATTTTGATCTGGCCACGTTATTAAACTCAACAAAAGGTAGCTTTTTAACGTTTTGATTATAAAGCTGGCAATAGCTAAAAATTTAAATAAACAGAGAAAATCAACTTTACTTTTACAAATATTTTAATTCCGAAAATAAGCACCCCCCTAAAATCCTTCTAAATGTTTCTATAGCATGTGATTGGTTATATTTACACACCTACAACCTACCTGTGATTTATATTACACAAAGTTGTGACATCCAAAAATAAACACCCATAGTGTTAAAGTGGGTGTTTATTTTCGGAACTATTATGGTAAACCCTACATAATTATATTTGTTTTGTTAACAAATTATTAAATTTTTTTGTTTGGCGACATACTATACAAGCCTGCGTAACCCATCAATCTAAATCATCGTACAATTAAGAATTTCTATGCATATTACAATCGTTTTCTGTATTGTTCGACTAGCTTTTTTTATTTAGTTAACGCTTATTACAGCGGTTATTCTATGCAGCCTTTTATTAATTTATTCATTTTACTTATCCCATTTTGGTTTGTGTGCTCTAACCCTTCTATTTAACTTACCCACTAATTCTTAATTGGGTTAAAGTCAGGGCTCTAAGCAGGCCAAGTAAACGTTTTGTTTAAGTTATCTCCTTCCACTCAACTGTTCTTGCCGCGTATAAGCTAATGCATTATCATTTTGGAAAAATACTCTGAGCATTTATAAGAGGCAGAAAATATTGCTTAACTTAGCAGTTTCATTTTTCTTTCAAGCAATACTAACGCCCCATTCTATATTTACAAAAACAATTTCGTACCATAATTTCTGCCAACTTTTATAGGTTTTTTTTTTCTATTTGCTATCAGTCTTACGTCATGACCACTTCCTTAAATCGTTATGAAAATAACTCAAATCGAGGCTCATTACTGAACATTACCGTCCGTCCCACTCACATTTCTACTCTTTCCTTATTCGACACCAAACTATCGCTTTTTACGGTTTGCTCTGTATCCAAGGGTTTAATCCTTCCGCAGCAATCTTCTAAATTTATTGTCGAACAGTTTTTGAACTCAAAATATTAAGAATTTGCTAATTTCTTGATAAGCTGTTCAACTGCCACTTGCACGATTTTTCTTACTAAATGCCTTATGTTACAGTCGTTCTAATCCAGTGGTCTGCGCAGTTTTACAGCAAGGCGGGTTTCTATAACGTTTACAGTATCTCTAACTGTATTGTACGGATAGTCTAATACTTTGGCGATCTCAACAAATCTATGTGTTTTCCATTTGTTCACGTGTTGAAACTCGCTCATTCACACCTCATAACTAAGGTTAAAAGGTTTTTTGATATAAGATTAGTTGGGTTCTAGTGTATTTGGAGAAAAAAAAATTTTCACAATGTTGAGGATGATATGTGCATTCAAAGTCGTCCAATTTTTAGCTGAAATCGAATGACAACTAGTACAGTAATAGCTTTGTAATACCGACGACTAGAAATTCTAAAAGCATTTTTGAAAATACAGTGTTCGGCCTTAAAATAGTGTAAATTACTACTTACATAAACTAATTTTGACACAAAATTTGTTTGAAAAAGAAAATAAAATGCGTATCAATGACAAGGTCGTATAAAATAACATGATTGACATTCTCTATTACTCTAATGTACACCATCGGTCTTAATGCCATGCATTTAAAGAGAGAAGTCCACTGTATTACTAGAATATTTATTTGAGTTGTTTAGTGTTTTGCGTCAAGCTTAACAGAAATTTTTAGGAGTTGTATTTATTTAAAAATATGAGTAACATATGTTTATTATAAAAGTCGACCTATTGGCAAAGCTTGAATTTTCTTTAATTCTCTTGTCAGGGTTTTTTCTTTCAAATATTGCATTGATGGCAATCCTAATTAATTATTAACTCGATAAATTACAAATCTATATAAGTTATTGTCATTCGGTTTATGCTTTTTTTCAGTGGAACATTACAGAGAGTTTGATCTGGTGGGTCCTTTATTTGGGCACAGCGTTCAGAGAGTTTGAACGATTGGTATAAAACACCGTTTTACAAACATCATGACTAACTGAAAACAATATGTACTTTGAGCTTAAAAGTAAACAACATACTTGATACATAATATGTCAATTAAATTGTTTCAAATAATATTTGTAAATTCGTGTATGTAAGAGTTGACGGGGCGAATAGTTTCGTCCTAATATTTAAACAAAGCAATGCAATGGACCATCAATATTTTGTCAGCCAATCATTTTGTTGTTACACACACTATTTAGTGTCAGAGCAGTTTGAGATTATCAGTTATCTCTTCCTCAAAAAATGGACGTTGTTATTGTTGATGATAGCGATGGTTCTTTTACCGATACGGATGACGAAATCGGTAATATATATTTCGACCCTCCTTCCGAAACGGATAATGTAATCGATTGTTCATCAAGTGCTTTATCTGATTACTGGAAACTCTATGAAAGCGGAAACTTTACGGATCTTTCAATCCAAGTTGGAAAAGAGTCAAACAGCAAAATATTTCTCGTTCATTCATTGGTATTATGTGCAAGAAGCAAATATTTTGCGAATAGTTTAACCGGGAATACAGAAACATTTAAAGAGATTCAAAAGACAGCCGTGACGTTCGAAGATGTGATACCTGACGTTTTTGAAGTTTTGCTTAGGTAAAAAACAAATATTATTAAATTTGAATACTATATTATTGCGTAGGACCTCTCGATAATAATATAACGTTGCTACAATTATGTAGGTTTATTTACACTGGAAAGGTTTCCTATGGATCATACAGAGATATAGACCGGATTAACCTTTTAAAAGAAGCTGTCAAGTTTGAGCTGGATGAACTTATTACTGAAATAGAACACCTTTTGATCACTAAAAACGAGGAATTGATTCAACAAAATATTCTCACGGTTCAGAAGTTCGCTCTCTCCACGGCTAGATTAAATAAACTTCTAGACTATTGCAATCAAACCATGGCTTCACATCCGGAGATTATCTTTGAATCTAACAATCTTTTAAGCTTACCAAAGGAGACTTTGATTACCCTTCTCCAGAAAGATGATTTTAATATGAAAGAAGGTGATATTTGGATGTCGGTCATAAGATGGGCTATTGGGCAAATTTCTGGACTTAAAAATAATCCAAATAACTGGTCAGCCGACGAAATTAGCACCATCAAAGGCTTGGTGGCTGATTACATACCTCACATAAGATTTGTTGACATTCCTTATGAGGAATTATGCGAGAAGTTTGTTTTGTACGATGAATTACTACCAGCGAAGTTACGACATGATATACTTTTTCATCATTTGCAAAATAAAAATAAACTAAGCGGCCAAAATCGACCACTAAGGGGATACAAAAATGAGGCATCCCGCTATGAGGGCACGCCTCAACAGGCGCCGTCGCAACAACTGCGGCAACAACTGCAACCACTACATCTGCCACCACTGCGGCAACAACTGCAACCACAGCGGCAACAACTGCGGCAACCACTGCAGCAACAACAACTGCAGCAACCACAGCAGCAACAACTGCAACCACAACAGCAACAACTGCAACCACAGCAGCGACCACAGCAGCAACAACTGCAGCGACCACAGCAGCAACAACTGGAGCAACCACAGCAACAACTGCAACCACAGCAGCGACCACAGCAGCGACCACAGCAGCAACAACTGGAGCAACCACAGCAGCAACAACTGCAGCGACCACAGCAGCAACAACTGGAGCAACCACAGCAGCAAAAAATGCAACCACCTATTAGACGGTTTTGAAAGGAGCTATCAGCATTAAGGAATTCCGGTGCTGATAAGTGAGAATTTATTAATTTATTAAGCACTTGATGTATTTTATTGTATGTTCTCAAAAGCATGTATAAATATGGCTAGTAGCGAATAGGATTATTATTTTACAACTACTTCAACACTCAATTCAATTTCAACTGAAGTAAAGGAGATCGTTGTATACTTTTCTGGGTAGAAAATTTTGTTTTTGACAAAAGTTAATTACAACTGAGTGGCGATCAATATCGACTATGGACGTCCGCAGTTTCAAAATGCAAGTCATCAGTTTGTTAGGTATACGCCAACCGTTGGTTATCTAACGCAATTATATCGTGAAGCTGTTAAAGAGTCGAAAGCAACGTTCCTTGAAAAACAATGCTAAAAAAATTGTCCTAAACTATTGATGTCAATGTTGTGTCTGAGTTTGGGACCTGTCTCAGTTCGGAACCCAGTCACGACTCAGTTGTCTCAGTCCAGAACCCAGACACTCAGTCCAGAACCCAGTCGTCTCAGTCCAGAACTGAGACAGGTCCCCAACTGAGGTACAACATCAACACGATATAATTTATGTGATATCGTTGAACATTTACCCCTCCGTATAAGGAACACACACGCATGTTGGAAATTTAGTCTAACTAGAAAAGGTATAAGTAGAGACCGATCAGAATTCAGACCTTGTTTGCTTTCATAGTTTTTGTTAAATTTCTCGCAGGCCCGACCAACTTGATAGCTTTCTATTCAATGTCGAAACGTCCACAAAAAGACAAAGACGAGCTACAGTCAATGATTTCCTCCGTAAGGAAATCTGCCTATACGCCGCCAAAATTATCATGCCACAAAACACCATAATATCCGTCCAGTACTTTATATTCCCACCACCCAACTGTCTCAAAGATAATAAAAGATAGTGCAAATGGTTAAATATTGGGAATAACGAAGCATTATCGCTGTAAATTTCTGCTACTGGAACAAGTTTTAAATCACTGCAAGTACAAGCCGCTATCGAGCTCAATGAACGGTTGATTAAGAAAAAAAGGGAAAAAAATTGCCAAGCTTCTCAGAATGAGATGCAATTCGAATGGATGTTTCATTAAGTATGCTTGGTTATTTTACGTACAATGCAGCTACGGATATTTCTAACTTCTTGAAGAGTGTTTATTAAATAACTGTGGGATTTACTTGATTTGGCAATCGAAGTGCTAAAGTTAGCAATCATTGTAAGGGGGACAATTTACTTCCCCCTAACATCTGAACATAGGGAGGTACCATAAACAGTGATTAGTAGTAATTGTGCTATTTGCATTATTGAAATCTTATTCTATGACATGTATAATTTATCGAACAATAAAGAAATCTTTCTACTTGATTGGCAAGAGTCTACTCTTTAACTTCCTACTTGCCAAATCTGTCAGAGGAGTAAGCTGACGAGAGCACCCTTGATAAATCTCGAAACGTGGTCGTTCGAAATCAAAAAGATCTGTATTGAAGAATCAATAATGAATAAAAGTCATCTTTTTTGATTATTTGCTTCTTCATGTGTTACTGGAATTGGTTGCCAGATGCCTAGGGATGTCTTCTTAATTAGCATCAACCGCTACGGTGCGCACTCAAAAAGCTTTTCGCTTTATGTTGATCTTCCTTTCGTTATGAGTAAGAGTTTCAATAAAGTTCACCATGACTGATTGCGCTCAGCAAGCCATTTGGAAGAGGAATATTCTAAAAGAACGATCTAAACCAAATCGCCTATTATATCATTGTACAAATTACTTCGTTATTTTAGCAATTTTCGTCATGCACCTAATACGATTTGTTGATCGGGCAAATGCTTTATTACCGTATTCTCAGATAGCAATTTGCTAATTAAAAATTTCTAGCTTTTTTATTCTTTTCGAAAGCATTTAGTACGCTGGATTAGGCAACGATACTTGGACTCCAGGATCGCAAGAAGTCTTTTCGAACACCGGCAACTCGAATATTAAAAACTTGAATTTGCAGAACCGACTTTCCGCAAGCCTTTGGCTTATAGTCTTGCATTCATTGTGTACGAAGTGTAACGTTTAACTAGGTTTAAGAGAAAACTGTTTTCTAAAGTTGTGTCAATCCCCGTGGATTCTGAGACTATATGCTCATAAAAGTGCGACTCTACCTTAGTTTCGATTCTTATCTGAAATATTCGAAAATCGATAGAGCGTTATCAATTCCCAATCAGATTGCAGTACGCTGGCAGATTATTCTAGAATCTGATTTACAAATTCGGAAATCTCTCGGACTGTAATGTTATTAGCAAACTGAAACAAGTCAAATAAATAATTTACGCGTATAGTATCAAAAAAATCATAAACATGCTCTATGTTAGTAAATGTTTATTTTGATGCCTAAATTGTTTATAGTCAATCATCTTTACTCCGGTTAAAAGCGTTTTAATTTTTACGTTATTTTGCATAGTTTGTAACTTTTCTTCCGAATATAAACAAACCCAATAAAGATAGAACCATGTCTGTGTAATACAGATAAAGTTAGAATAAAGCGAACACATATTTACACAAGTCAATGAATAAATAAACCATACTTACATGTCTACTATTAATGATATCAAATTCTAAAATAATGTCATCTTCAGACAAAACATTAACCACACGTGGTAAAATGTATTCAACATTGCCATTTCTATCTTCAATATCTATCTTATATTGTATTTCTTCAGTTGACGTCTTTATCTACAAAAATCAATTTAATGTTACCATACGATAGATACGATACAACAAAGACCGAATCAACAATACTTAGCGAATACGTACTACAATCGTTATTGTAGACTTCACCCAATTACTCAACAAAATGCTGAGTTTGTATTTATTTGGAGGTACTTGGAATATGGGTATTGTTAACTAATATATAATTATTTATT